CTAAACAGTCAATCAAGTTAGAATCCATTTTACATATGAGACAGACACACACACACATAGATATTATATGGAAGCACAGATTTTTTTTTTATCTTCTGAAGAATGAAAAATGGTCAAATTAAGACATCAGCATAAACTTTAATGTTATTACAGCTAGGCAGATTATGAAAGAACTACTGCTCTGGCTGAATACACAAAGTTATTGAAATAAATGAATAATAAAAAAATTTAATCTACCAAGCTGCCCACACAAAGCTAAGCAGGGAGGTTAATGTTCTCGCAGGTTTTGGATATACAACATATAATTTTGTTTAAGATATATCCTGAAACCTACAAAAGAGTATGATGAAGTACTGTAGAGGCAAAGTTTATGAAATAACGACATTCAAAACAAGTCTTTTAATTTTTCTTAGATAAATGGTCAAAGACTCTGTTATCTATTTTTTTCTTTATATCAAAGTCAGAATTAATTTTTATAGCTTGAAAAGTCCATCTGTGAGATTCGGGATGAAGTATACAAGAGAGAATTATATAAAAATGGTGATCTGATAAAAAAAGTCATATTGAACTATGGTAAAGCATAATAGCAAAATGGGGTTAGGAATTAGTTAATAATAAAGTTACAGGGTAGTATGGTAGTGAAAGGGTTGAGAAAGGGTGAGTTGATGAGGTATATAAGGTAAGAGTTGTTAAAAAGGGTGAAGGGTAAAGGGGTTATGACAATTAGATCAAATGGAGGATATTTATGCATATGAGGAAGGAGAATAAGTTGTCGAAGAAAAAGGTAGGGCATACTGAGAGAATGTCCAATAGGTTGGGAGGTCAGGGAAGTGAGAATAAGTTGGGGGACAGAATAGTAGGATATGTGGGACTGAAAGAGAAACATTACATGAGGAGCATAGAAGTGGATCAGATTGTGACATGAGATAAGAATGTGTGAAGCAAGTGTGTCCAATGCATAAACCGGAAAGAGCAATAACTTTTATAATAAGTATAAAAATTATTTCTCTTAAACCTTCTAAAGAATGATGCAGCAATGCAGATCCCTATTTCTAATGGAACAGACACATCTGAGTGAGCTGATCAAATTCCAGGTCATATTACCTGGTTTGTAAACCAATTTATATCAGTCAATACAGTTAAGGTATTACATTAATACCTGTGTTGGTATCATACATTTTAAATTTAGCGTCAAATCATATTTTATGTTGACATTAATGTATGCTGTAAGTAAAAGCTTTTTAAAAATCCTTCATCATAGAAACATGAGAATGGAATGAAACTGAGAATACTAAGAATAGATTAACTCAAGAGTAACCAACCCACAACAAAAATGACAGACCAATCCTTAGTTAAGTGCTGTATTATCTGCTCTTTACTACCAACATATCAGTATAATCATTGCCCTTAAACTATTATTGTAATGATATTCAATGAAACCATGCAGGTGACAACCAGTATTAACAGTACTGATACAAAGGTAAGGACATGTATATGGACAAAATACCCCTTGCATGGATATTCATGGGCTTATCCCATGTTACAAAAGATATTTAGGGGACCCTCAATAAGTGCCCTCTCTTAAGGAACCCTCACTTTACAGTATTACAAGAGACCAATGGAATCTTGACACTTTGCAGCAGCTGGTATAACATTTTTTTTTTGCGAGGGTTGGCAGCCTTACAAAAATAACTGCTTTCATGTGAAATAAGTTATCATGCTTATTCTGCCCACATAATGCTATTCCTTTATCAAAATATTCATAATTAATTCAAAACTTGTAAAAAACACAAATATAATTTTGAATGCACTTGAACACTAGCCTGGCATTTTGTGCATGTTTTTACCTTGTACCCTTAAGACAACAGATTCAAAATCATAATGATATGACTTAAACAGTGAACAAAAAGGCTTCATAGATGATAACAAAAGTACCAACAACAATTTGTGACTTGCAAGTTATTAATATCTTGAAATCTTGAACTAAAACATGAAAAAAAACTTTGCAATTGACAAGTTCCTGTAGGTTTCGTTATTTACTAATGCTATATGTCCAACTTAGGGTCCTTGTACCCTATGGTTTAAATTTAGCCTTACATATACTTTCATTCACACGATGTATTTAGTATAAAAACTTCACTACTAATACATTTTTCACTTTATACATCTAGAAAACATAACTATAATATGAAAGAATGAAAAAGAACATGAGGGGAGAGTACAGTAGATTTGATAATGTTCATGTTATTTACTTTCATTATACAGAATAATTTATTGGCCATTATTCACCCTCATACTTATTCTTAATACAATCTACATTGTCTTCACAAATGTAATTACTTCCATCAGCCATCGGAGTATGTAGTGGAAAGTAGGAGGTAAAAAGGAGGCCAAAGATTTTGGAATGTGCTAGTGGATGCAACAGTATTGTACTAGGGTCAGGTACATTATGTGGGTTATAATTATATATTCTTTCCTATATGTGATAAAAACTATATAT